GTTTAGGGTTCAGGGCTTAGGACTATAAGTTGGGACCGTCTGAACACCAGATGGGCAGTTTGCTGGCAGCCAACAAGTCCGGTTTCAAAAAACCTTTAAACCCTAAACCCTAAACCCCGGACTCTAAACAGCAGGGGGGGGGGGAGGGTTATGGTGCACGGTAGCTGTCAGCGTAAAGCAGGTCGCAGTATACACGCCTGTACTTTTGATACTTTTGTGCACATTTCAAAAATTATAAAGCACGACACACGTAGAGACTCCTACACATGGATGTACATCTCCGTGTGTTGTGTGTAATGGTGTAATTGTATCGTGTGTTCATTTGCATAGCACGCCGCTCGGCGCAACGGCCAAACCTGGCTGGTTTCAAGCGCGGTGCATGAGGCTTTCGATTTACAGAAGGCCGTACACACGTGCATCTGGACAAGGTTCACAGCGTGAGGCCAGTGTTTTGACCCGATCCCCAAAGGGTCCATGTACCTATATGGTATATACTTGGGCCTTAAAGGGGTTCCCAGAAAAAAGCTTTAGGGCCCAAGTATATACTATATGGGTACATGGACCCTTAGGGATAGGGCGTAGCCTCGGGCAGCATGGAGGGCTCTGCAACGCCTGCCAAGACCTGGCATTTTGTGCGCTACGGCAAGCGCACTGGAAAAGTAGTTGCTGGGTTTTGGAGTACTATACTTTAATACTTTTTTTGGTTCTTGGTTCCTATTATAGCTACTTATACCTAAAAAGTGTATACTTTTTTTTCAGGGTCTACTCCAAAGCTAAGGTTGGCGTCGATGAGTATGAGGTTGCGTCCGCGCTCATTGCAGGGGTTCGAGACGTGCTCGGTAGGCCGAGTGCCGATGACCAGCACCTTTTCAACCTGTGCCTTGGGGACGACATGAACCCTAAAAGGGTTTATGGTTCATATTACCTCAATAGGAAATATAGTAGTATAGGGTATATGACCCCAGCTCATGTACCTCAGTGAGAATTATAGTAGTAATTATAGGGTATACCAGGACGTGTTCATCGACTTCTCAGAGCTAATCGGCCTCTCAGTGCTAACCGGCCTCTCAGTGGCTGTTCCCCAAACTACATGTACGTACTGCGTGCAAATTAAACATCAATTTCTGAGTTTGAAAGGATAATACATGGACAAACTTTGCTGGGCGGTCTGGACGACGTGCTATACGGATTGGTTGCTTCGCTCCTTCCGAGACTAAGCTGTGCTGTGTTTATTGACTGACAAAAATGCTCAAAAGTCTTCCTTGTTGGCCAAAATATATAACTGCTCTGTGCTACATGCTCTATGAGGGTTTGGGTCGGCGTTAGTGATTTGTTTGTCGGTTATGTGCTGTTTCTTTGCCGCAGTGTATCGCCCCACAAAAGCCGTTCGCTCTGGGCGCCGCGGCATGACGAAACAAAATGAAAACTGAAATAGCATTTAGGGTGACAGTTTCAGCGCGTCTACGAAGAGATGGACAAAAACAACCACGAATCACCCAGCTATGTACCGGAGCAATCTGACACACCAACCGCCAGTTTACGTAGACACAAACAATTTTTACACCAAATGACATAACATTCCTTCAACAAAACAAACCATTCTGCAAAGCAAGCTGTCCCTGGCGCGCACACGCAGATGGTCACGACGCGAGATGTGTCAGTTGGTTCCAGCACATGCATTAACATGCGCACGCGTGACGCTGCCAGCTTCTGAGAGTCTTCAGTCCGTTCGGGTGGTGTTTTGGTTCGCCCTGGATCTTCTTGGATCTTCTTGGTTTCGAGCTTTTCGCCCCTTAGGTAAGGGCTTGTGATTGGACATCTATCCGATACGATCACTTCCAGTTCGGGTTGTCGGGGCTCTGTCTCGTCGTTTTTCCGGATATCAACACACATTCTCCTTGCACATTCAGCGTTGGAGCTTTGTCTGTAGTCCATGCTGCTTTTTTGTATCCCCCGGTGTCCGGGGTCAGTGTATACTTCGGCCAAAAACTTTACTTTTTTTCGGTCTTGCAGATGTTCCCTCTAAGTCTTTTCAAGTTTGGAACTCCCTTGTTTATGCTGTGACTTCGGATCTTTGCAGCTTTGGTCGTTTTCCTTTGTGAAAGCCCATCGGCAACATAAACGTTAACAGAAGCAAAAACATGCCGAGAGTCAGAGAGGCGTTAAACCGTCGCGAGAATGGTTTACAGCAGGAGATGTGAGGAGGGCAGTATGTGAACGCAAACGCGGCCAGGGGATGAACGCGGACAGCACATCCACAGCACGGGGTACATGGGGTACACGGGGTGCACGGGCCGGGTGCACGGGGTGCACGGGGTGCACGGGGTACACGGGGTACACGGGGTGCACGGGGTACACGGGGTACACGGAGTACACGGGGTGCACGGGGTATACACGGGGTACACGGGGTACACGGGGTACACGAGGTACACGGGGAAGACGGGGTACACGGGGTACACGGGGTACGGGGCACGGGGTGCACGGGGTCCACGTTTTACACGGGGTACACGGGGTGCACCGGGTACACGGGATACACGGGGTCCACGGGGTGCACGGGGTGCACAGGGTGCACGGGGTACACTGGGTACACGGGTGCACGGGGTACACGGGCTACACCGAGTACACGGGGTGCACGGGGTACACGGCATACACAGGGTACATGGGGTATACACGGGGTGCATGGGGTGCACGGGGTGCACGGGGTGCACGGGGTACACGGGGTACACGGGGTGCACGGGGTGCACGGGGTACACGGGGTACACGGGGTACACGGAGTACACGGGGTACACGGGGTGCACGGGCACGTACACGGGGTACACGGGGTACACGGGGTACACGGGGTACACGGGGTACACGTACACGGAGTACACGGGGTACATGGGGGTACACGGAGTACACGGGGTGCACGGGGTGCACAGGGTGCACGGGTAGACGGGGTACACAGGTTCACGGGGTACACTGGTTGACTGCGTGCATACGAGCGGGTACACAGAAAAAGTCCGGGGGGGGGGGGGGGGGGGGGTGGAAAAAAAAACAGGCCCCCAGTCTCCGCCAATCGACCGTGTACTACCGTGTATCTGCGTGTATTCGGCTTCTCAGAGAAGGTTTTTGCGTGTATCAGCGTGTACGTAGTTTGAGAATCCCAGCCGTATCAAAAAAACGCGACGTGCTCGTCCACGCCTGTTCAGCGGCGCCTGCGTGTATCAGCGTGTCGTTGAAATGGAGCAGCCTTTAAAGATTTCGCGAAGTGTTTCCCGCTTCTTTTTTGCAGCAGCACCTTTTCCTATTGCACGCATGCAGCCGGTTTACTCCGCGTGCCCCGTGTACTCGACACTCGGTGAGCGTACTTTACCCGTGTGCTCCCACGCGCGCGGCTCACAGAATCAAACAATCCCGTACGACCCTACCGAAACCCATGGAAGCAAATCAACATCCTCAAATCAGGGGCTCCGCAGTATGCACCTTGGACAGACAAGCCTAAACACTGAGATTTTCATCTATTTCTATTCTGTCGTCCTTGGCTTGGGACATGTGTACACGGTCCCCCACCCCACTCCTTCCCGCCGCCCTGTTCCTTTGCCGCTTCTGCCAAGATGTTGCGTGAAGTCCCTGACCTGGTCCAAATCTATTGAAATTTGTGCCAAAACCCTTCGCAAGCCACCGGAGCATACCTTAAAGCAAACATGGATTGGGGGGGTTTAGGATTTATGGGTTTAGGGCTTAGGCGGTAGGGGCAAGCTTAAAAAACCAGGTTAGGGCTTAAAATATCAGGGTTTAAAGCTTATGGGTTGAAGTTTTGACTTGAAAGCTATAAGGTTTAGGTTTAGGTTTAGGCTCAAGTCTTTGAGATCAGCCCCCAAACCTCCCTTAAAGGCCCTAAGCCCCATAAGCCTGCTGAGCCAACTAATCTTCCCCAGGCACCCTAAGGGCCCCAATCTTACGCCCCCTTAAGCCACTTAAGCTCCCTTGCGCCCCCTTAAGCTCCCTTAAGCCCCTTTAAGCCCCATCAGGCCCCCAGCCCTCCAAAAGCAAGCAGTTACGCAACCCAGATCTCTGAACCCTTAAATTTCAACCCCCAAGCCCCCAAGTTAAGTAACCCAGGCCTCGGAACCTTAAAAACTTCAACCAGCCAACGTGGGGAGATGCGAAAAAAGTTGTGCCTTACCAGTATGCTTGCTCGAAGCCCCGGAAGCCAATCCAAATGTTGTCAGCTGGCAAGGAACTTCTACTTGTGTGTGTTTTGCCAACATGTTGGGAAAGTCGTGTAGCTGATGCATTTCCGTTCACGGGTTCTTTGTTTTGGGTATGTGGCTGCGCCACTGTTCTCGCCAATCGGGTTTTTTTGAAGCCCCAAAATCAACCCCCAAAGCGATTTTGTAGCAGAATTGTCAAACCTATGATTTTTAGCGAACCCCCCCATGGTTTAGGTTGAACCCTAAGTAGGGGGTCCCCCCCCCGGCTCCAGATGAATACTCCATAGTCCAGACTATTTCGTTAAGAAGGTGGGCAGCTCCAGTCGCACTATAGAATGCATGACTTGATACTAGTATGGCACACTTTCTTGCTCTCGCATTCTTCCTCTCTCTCTCTCTCTTTGTATCTCTCTCTCTCTCTTCTTTTTCCTCTCTCTTTCTCTCTACATATTTATATATGCATATGAATATCTATATCTATATATCTGTATCTATATCTATATCTGCATATATATACATATATATGTACGTTTCTGTGTGGCAAACCGAAATTTTAAAGTGGACCCCGCTCAGGATTCGATGGCAGAACATCCGGGGGGTCGCTAGAAGCACATCGCAAGCTACGCCTTTCCTGACATGGCACTCTTTGTTGCTGTCGTGTCGCCTCGATCGGCCCAGTGGAATCAGTGATTTTTTCCTGCCGTTTCTGTCAATCTCCTTTTACAGAGCAATGTTTCTGACATCGACAAGCGGCTCTCGTACATGTTTACTGTGTGATGCTCAAGATTTTGGCATGTACTGTGCGACATGGGAATAAAGTGGCGCGGGCAACGCCATGTCACATATATACCCTACTTGTTCGTTTTCAGCTGAGTGAATTGTTGCTGACCACTGAGGAGTCGATTAGCTCTCCGGCTTCTCAGTGGCTAAAGCGCATAAACGGCTTCTCAGAGAGGTCTGACAACACGTCCTGGTATGACCCCCAGTTTAAGGTTAATTTGGTCCCCAAGGTGTTTACAGTTTGGCCTTGACAACACGGCGCTCGCGCTGCTTGAGCACGGGGTGGAGGGATGCCGGCTTGAATGGAAAGACCTCGACCGCTTTGCTCGGAAGTCCTGGTCTTGGGGACACTACGGCTATGTCCGCTGCGCCTGCCCAAGCGGAAGTTGGCAAACTTGCGATGGCTGCTCTTGGGGCTTCGGCAGAGAGAATGATGTCTGGATGCCCGACTGGGATGAACCCTTGGAAGATGCCAAGGCCACTGCCCTAGATATAGCGGAGATGCCCTTCACCGAAGCCCTGTTCACAGCTATCCGGTCTGACAACTGCCTTCCCGGCTTGGAGGTCGCGGACGAAGTTTGGGCACGCTTGCTGGACATCGCTGTCCTTCTGGGCGACAAAGACCTGGCCTCGCAATGTGCCCCGCGCTGCCCATGGAAGCCACTGCGGCGGTGGAGGGCGCGGGATCCTTGGGGACCAAATGAACCCTATAATTGTGGTCAGATACCCTACACAATGATTTTCCCAAAAACCTAAACCCTATAAACCCTTTTAAGGTTCATGTAGTCCCCAAGGATCTCATCTGTTGGAGCTACACGGACATCTCCATCCCCGAGCCGGCAATCTTGGAAGCCGCCGTAGGTGCGGGTCTGGATCTGGCCCACCTGCGCGGGCCCTATGGCGTTTCTCTCCGACAGGCCCTGGTGCTGTCAGGTGCCCTATAAGGGGACCCGAAACCCTAAATCCTAAACGCCCTAAACCCTAAACCCTAAACCCCCCAATTTTAGGGTTCACGTGGTGCTGCCAGGTGAGCTGCAGCTCTTAGAGCGGATAGGGGGCCTCTTGCAGTCAAAAGACAGCCCCGGCCGAGCCTTGGGGACCAGATAGGAACCCGAACATTGGGTTTAGGGTTTAGGGTTTAGGGTTTAGGGTTTAGGGTTTAGGGTTTAGGGTTTAGGGTTTAGGGTTACTATAAGTCCTATTAAGGTATTAAGAACCATAAAACCCCTTTTAGGGTTCATTTCGTCCCTAAGGAGTGGGTCCACGGAACAACGGGAGGGCGCTGCCCATCGGCTGGCTTGTGGAGGCACACGGGCCCAACGCACACAGGGTTTCTTAGGGGTACTTGGAAATTTGTTTTAAATATTTTTGTTAATATAATCAGTAATCCCTAAGGAACCGATAACATTACATTTTTTTGCTAGGGTGCCAAGTTCAGTATAGGTTTCCTGGACTCGCTTGGAGTTGGTTAGGCTGGCGGGTCTGGGACACGCTGGCCGCATCAATGAGAGAGTGGCCGCCGATCTGTTCTGCCTCACGTGCCGCAAACCTCGAACAGCACTGAGTCACTGCACCTCGGGGACCAAATGAATTCCTATAATTGGGGTCATCCACCCCTACATGATCCTATACCATCATACTCCCGATTTAAGGGTATATGGACCCAGAAACCCTTTTTAGGATTCACTTCGGTCATACCTATGCCATTGTACTCCTTTTTCCAGGCATATGGACCCATAAACCCTTTTTAGGGCCCACTTCGTCCCCTTAAGGCACTATGCTGGATCTTTGCGCATATGGACCCATAAACCCTTTTTAGGGCCCACTTAGTCCCCTTAAGGCACTATGCTGGATCTTTGCATCTTCGGCGGGCAGGCTCGCTGCGCGGAGCTTGGTGGACTGATGGGAGCCAGCCTGGGGGACCGGAGCAACTTGATGTGCCTCAACCCTATCTGCGGAGACAGCCAGTGTGGGCCTTCTTACTTAAAGGTTCACCGGCTTCTGGGCTGTCCTTTGGGATGTTTTTAAAACTTCCCTTTACTCCTTACAAGAGAACTTTATTCACAAGCAACTTATTGCCTAAAGAGAACCTATTCGAAGGAATGAAAGCATGACTCAGGTTTTGCTTAAAAGTGTACCTACTCATAAAGAAGTTTTCAAAGGGATGAAAGCACAACTCAGGTTTATAGTACATGTTTGAATCATATCTGGGCCTGAAAGCTACTACAGCATATAGGAACCTTTTCAGGCCCCAAGTATACACACTATAGGTAGATGGACGCTTTGGGTATGGAACCTCGGGGACGAAAGCACAACGCAGGTTTTCGACCCCCAGCTTCTTCGTGAAGGTGGCCCCTCTTGCCGAGCGCCAGGCCGCTGCCGCGCTCGCCCTGGCAAGGGCGCTTCGAGCCTTGGGGACCAAAGGTATCTTAAAGTTGAGGTCATATACCCTATATATATATACTACCCTATACTACTATAAGTCCTATTCAGGTATATGAACCATTAAGGTTCCTTCCTAAAAGCTCGGGTCATATACCCTCTAGTACTACAGCTTCTATTAAGGTATGTTGGGGTCATAGACCCTCTACTACTATACTTTCTTTTAAGGTACACTAGGGTCGTATACCCTATACTACTACAATCCCTACTAAGGTATATTGGAGTCATAGACCCTGTACTACTATAATTCCTATCAAGGTGGTATGAACCATAAACCCCTTTAGGGTTTTAGAATTCCTATTCAGGTGTATGAACCACAAACCCTTTTAGGGTTTTTTTGGGGTCCCTGAACCCTAAACCCTAAACCCTTTTAGGGTTATTTGGGGTTCATTTCGTCCCCCAGGAGCCTCCTGGTGCCAGTCTTCGGATCAGATGGGTGCCTCGGGGAGCAAATGAAGCCGATAGTTGGGGGTCATATAGCTTTGAGGTGAGGTCCTGTCTTGGTTTAGGGGTTTAGGGTTTAGGGTTTAGGACAACTTGGAGGTTCATGAGTACTTATAACTCCAATTTTAAGTCTACACAGAACCTACTTAGAGGACTTGGGGGCGGGGGGGGGGGGGGGGGGGGGGGGGGGTGGCGTATAAGTACAGTTATAATTAAGGTTATAAGTACCCATGAACCGCCAAGTATATACCTCAAGAACCAACAGCCTGCCTCTTTTTTGGGGTACCTAAGAATCCTACGAGGAGCTTCATCAAGGGTTTAGGGTTTGGGGTTTAGGGTTGAGGGTTTAGGGTTTAGGCAACAAAAGTAGATTGTGGGGAAGGGCAAGGCATACTTACTACAGTCTCTATGGAGGTATGGACTCTAAGTTCATTTATAGGTTCAGTTAGACCCCCAGGCGTGGGCCTCCTAAACCCTAAACCCTAAACCCTAAACCCTAAACCCTAAACCCTAAACCCTAAACCCTAACCCTAAACCCTAAACCCTAAACCCTAAACCCTACTGTTCATTTCGACCCCAAGGTGTGGGCCTCCACCAAACCCTGCTTGCTTGGGCTGATGGAAGGACATCACGCTTCCGATTTTTGGTAAGCGACTTGGTAGCCCAGGGTGGAGCCTTTTTAGGGCTTCGGGCTTAGGGTTTACGGTTTAGGGTTAGGGCTTAGGGTTTAGGGTGTAGGGTCCCTTTTTTTGTGGTTCTGGGTTCTCTTACGAAGTAGTTAACCCCCAAGAAGGGTACCCTTACTATTGCCACCCTAAACCCTAAACCTAAACCCTAATTGTACGATGCTTACCGGGCCACCAAGGCAAGATTCTCACTTTCGCTGCCCACCGTCCTGCCCTTGCAGACCAGCTGTCAGCACTTTGGCGACTAAAGCAGCCCTATAAAGTGAGATGCTAGAATCCCTTATTTCAGGACCAAAGGAGCCCTATAAAGTGAGATACTATAATCCCGGATTTCAGGACCAAAGGAGCCCTATAGAGTGAGATACTATAAGCCCTTATTTCAGGACCAAAGGAGCCCTATAGAGTGAGATACTAGAATCCCTTATTTCAGGACCAAAGGAGCCCTATAGAGTGAGATACTAGAATCCCTTATTGAAGGACCAAAGGAGCCCTATAAAGTGAGATACTAGAGTCCCTTATTTAAGGTCTATGGACCCTGAACTCTAAACCTAAAGCGGGGTACTATAATCCCATAATCCCTTTTAAGGTCTATGAAACCCTAAACCCTGAACCCCTTTCTCCCCTACTTTCCGACCCGTTTCGTCCCCAAGGCATGTGTCCGGCTGCTGCTGGGTGAGTGGGAGGCGTTCCAGGAGGTGACGGCCTTAGCCAGCTTTACTGAAGCTGTGGCTTGATGTAAAGTTATAAGAGTGTGTGTTATGTTAATATATATATATATATAATTATATATATGTATGTGAATTTCGTATTCAGATATTATGACACTATTTTCATCTGGTTGCCATATATCATATCGTTCTTTTTAGAGTATGGATTTATTCAGAATAATATCGTGCCAGAGCAAGGAATGCTAACTTCATTAGTATATTAGTATATCAGATATTATTGTCTTAGTATACTAACATACTCGTCTACCAAGAGAGCGATAATCCGGAAGCCTACAGCAGGTGCCAAAGTGCAGCAAAGTGTGGCATGTTCCAACAGCCGACCATCCGCGAAAAAGGTGCCACGTGACTCCTAGGGTTCAGGGTTTAGGGCTTTAGGGTTCAGCCTTTGGGGTTTAGGGCTTAGGGCTTAGGGTGTCTAAATCATCCAACCCCCAAAAAGAGCCGTGCACTTTGAGAGGGCTGTGCATTTTACATGTGCTCCCTCGAACCTCACGCGCTGCTTTCAGCAGCAGCCTGATGAAAGGGAGATCCACTGATTAAGCCTGAGAACTCGGTCCAAGCTTAAACCCTGAACCGTATAAACCCTCAGCTCCCTTTCCCAACATCAAACCCCAGGCCTTAAACATGAGGTTTAGGGTTTGGGGGTTAGGCCTTCAGCCCACAACCCCTGAACCCTGCACCCTCCAAAACCTGTTGTCCTTCAGTTCCCGTGGGACATGCGCCAGCAGCCATAAACCTTGCTTCCTAAACCCTAAAGCCTAAAGCCTAAAGCCTAAACCCTAAGCCCCAAGCCCTAAGCCCTAAGCCCTAAGCCTTGACCCCAAAAGCCTCACCACTGTAAGCCCCCCAAACCCTACCGGCCGGGCATACGCCCTTTATACCTACAATCCAGAAGCCCTCAACACCAAGGCTCGCACCCTGTGAAGCCCGATCCCGAAACGCTGACCCCTAAAATCTAAACCCTAAACCCTCAACCCGAAACCCGAAACCCGAAACCCGAAACCCGAAACCCGAAACCCTAAACCCTAAACCCTAAACCCTAAACCCTAAACCCTAAACCCTAAACCCTAAACCCTAAACCCTAAACCCTAAACCCTAAACCCTAACAAACCTCTGAGAGGAGCCCGTGTCGAGCAAACCCTGGGGTTTTGCGAACGGCGTGGGCCGCTGGGCAGACCACACGGAGGAGTCCCCGAACGCATCCGAGGCCAGGGTTCAGGGTTCAGGGTTTAGTGTTTAGGGTTCAGGGTTCAGGGTTTAGGGTTTTAGGGTTTTAGGGTTTAGGGTTTAGGGTTTGGGGTTTTAGGGTTTAGGGTTTAAGGTCTTCCTGGCAGTACTTCAGAGCCCAGGTTCAAAAGGGGTTCGGGTTAAGGGTTTGGGGTTTGGGTTTAGGGTTTAGGGTTTGGGGTTTGGGGTTTAGGGCATTGCGGGTACCCTAAACCTTTTCGAACGTGGCAGATTGGCTGGCTGTTGGCTTCGGCGGTGAAAGTTCAGGGATCAACACAGTGCCTGACAGTCACGAGCCTTGTGCACGGCTAGTATCAAAGGTTGGAACTATATAACAAGGGGCCCAAATCAAGGGCCCATACTTCGGATCCCCTACTTGTTGGTTCATGGTACTTCGTAACCCACTTATATCTGTACGTATAGCCCAATTATACCCCTATTGGGGTACTTGAGGGGCTCATATGTGGGTCGTAGCTACCCGGTTTAGGTTTTGGGGTTTCTGTCTTGAGGTTTAGTGGCTTTGGGCTTAAGGTGCCACTCAACCCGACAATCTAAGGGCCAAATTAGGAGTATGTTAACGGAAACCCTTAGGGGTACAACCGTAGAGGTGCGAGTCTTAACCCCGTGAGAACCCCCTAAAGCCCTTAGGGTTTAGGGTTTAGGGTTTAGGGTTTAGGGTTTAGGGGTTGAAAAGCCCCAAAGCTGCAAGGGCTTTGACTCCCCCATGTGCAGGCTGAGAGCCAGAGACCCGCTGTGGCTTCTGCATCTGAAGAGGAGTTTAGGGTTTAGGGCTTAGGGTTTAGGGTGGGCTTAGGAATTACTTTGTCATAGTGGGGGAACATCTTACATGTTTCATGGTACCTCAACACAATAAGGAATAGATATGTAAATTTAATTTCTATCCTAACCATGAACTAGATAAGGGTTTGCGAAGGTCAGCTGGGGGATCCTGCCTTTCTATCATACTGGTACCCTACCTTAGGGCCCCTTGCCTGAGGCCCTAGTGAGAGTTCTGCTGTAGCCCTGAGCCACAAACCCTAAACCCTCAACCCTTCCCCTAAACCCCTAAACCCTTTTAAGCCCCTATAAACCCTTACCCCTAAAACCCCTAAACCCTAAACCTGAACCGAAAAGCCCCCGCAACCCAGAAGGTGTCCACGACGCACATTGAACGTGAGGGTGAGCTAAACTGTGGAGGCATTTGGGGACCCCTGTAGGGTCATAAGGGTTTAGGGTTTGGGGTTTAGGGAGGCTTACCGGCAAAAACCTGAATACTTCACCCGGGACCCAACGAGGTATGTATTGCAATTCCATTCGATCACCCTAGTAGGGATTGTAGCAGCAGTCTAGCCCATATAAAGAACCCCGATTACAAGAGTCATGTGGTCCCCAAGGCACGTGTCTTTGCGCAGGACCCTGCCCGGCAAATTTCAATCAGCAGCCAGAACCAAGAAGCCGCCCCTCCGACACAGGACCCTCTGTGCTGTTAGGCAACCCAAAGCCTCCTAGGTAGTACCTGTTTGAACCCTAAAACGGGTTTATGGCTCCACCGACCTTTTTTCAATAGCATACCCAAAGGCTCCTATGTAGTACTTTTTTGGGGTAGTGTACTAGTATCCCCAATAACTAACCCCAAAAGGAACTACATAAAGGAGCCTTCAGGTAGATTAGGGGGAGAGGGGGGCGTGTATCAACACAGAAAAGGCGCCCTCTGAATGCCCAAACCCTAAATCCCAAACCCTACCTTGGGCATCCGTTTACATCCCAATGGTGTGCAGAAGGGGATCCCTAAACCCTAAACCCTAAACCCTAAACCCTAAACCCTAAACCTCAAACCAGAGAAATTCCTTAGTTTAGGGAATGTCAATGACAGGCCCTTCACACCCGGAGCTTGTTTAAACTCCTCGTCTTGTTTGTAGGGTTTCGGGTATGGGGTTTAGGGTTTGGGGTTTAGGGTTTAGGCAGGGTTTAGGGTTTAGGGTTTCGGGTTTAGGGTTTAGGGTTCCAAACCACAGAGGAAGAGGCAGGGGTTTTAGGGCCCGCACGAATAAACTGATGGAAGGGCCTTAAATACTGGGGGTCTTGGGCCCTGCGGGTTGCTTCCGCACCTCAGCTCTTCATGTGGACCCCCTTTTTTCATTGCGCAAGGAAGGCTTCCCTGATTGCTGGGCACTAAAACATGTACCCAAGAACTGCCTTTTACCTTGGGGTGCTAGATGATTCCTAAAAGGTTCAGTGTGAATATGTAAGAGGATTCTTGTTCGTAGAGTAGGCTATATAACAGGGGCCATTCGGTCCCCTAACTACTGCTAAAATGCCTATGAAGATTATGTGTATATATATATATATTATATAATATTATATATATATATTGGCCAATTCTTATCCCTAAGCCCTAACTCCCACAGTCGGGTTTCTGTTTGGCCTTTTGGCTTGCAAAGGAGTTGTATGGTTGCCTCACACAGGGACGGCACCTCCTACTGTAGTAGTAGCTGTAGTTATGCGGAACTTCTACTGACCGAAGTTATACAGCGCCTGTGATCCTTTCAGGCCCATGCAAGTTACAACCGGTGGGGTGGGGGGGGTTTAGGGTTTAGGGTTTAGGGTGCCTCCTGGCGGCCTGATTGCAGGACCCTGCGCCGCAGGCGCCAAGCAGCAGTATCAAGGATGCTGCCACACCTCCGGTGCAGGACTCCTGTGTCCCTGACTGCCTTGGGGACTACATGGAACCCTGTTCAGGGGTACTTATAACTAGTCTGCTTATGACCTACTTAGGCGGACTTAGGAGGCTTGTATATTAGGCACACATCAAGAGCCCGCGCCATGCTTTGCGTCCCAGGAGGGTTTAGGCTTAGGGTTTAGGGTTTAGGGCTAAGGGGACCTTCTGCCGAGAAAAAACAGGATGCATTCCTGCGCCACACCCCAGCCTTCAGAGTCCCTCCTTGCCAAAGGAAAGCCGCGGCCTGTGTAGTAGGTGTGTAGCTCGGTGAAGCACGAGAGACTACCATATGTAAACTAGTATGTGTATGTGTATATATATATACACATATATTTATTCATTGATTTATTTGCTTACTTATGTATTATCTAATGTGTATGTGATATCTGCAACCCTTGACAACGAAGGACGAAGGAAACACCAAAAGGCCGAACCCTAACAGCAAAACCCTAAACTGTTGTGCCCACCGATCACGAGTGCGCAGGAGACGGAGCGGCGTAAGCGGAAGAAAGCCCGGAGAAGCAAGAAAGAGGTGGGGTTTAGGGTTTAGGGTTTATAAGTTTAGGGTTTAGGGGGGTTGGGGGGGGGAGGGCGGTTAGGACTACAGGGCCGGTGCTTTACCGGGTTTTCGGGATAAGGGCATGTTAATCTCCGTTTCGGGCGCCTAGCAGCAAAAGCAAGGTCTTGTTTGACTCACGTATGGGCTCCTTGACGGGCTCATGCAGTCAAAGTACTGGGTCCCCCCCCCCAACATTTGGTGGCGGCTACACGCGATGCCATGTCAGTATCGCGCTGACTGGGAGCCTCCGTAAGCACGTGCTTTTGGAGCCCTCTGGCAAGCTCTTGTGTGAACCCTGAATAGCTAATACGCATTATGTAGTATACGAGGCACGTAACCCTAAACCCTAGCCTTGTCTAATCTTGCCTCGCGCGTGCTCCTCTTCCTTTACGCATTTCATCGCATGGTCGCGAGTTGTTGTTCTCTTTGTATTCGCACTTGTTCATCACATTTGTGCCCACAAAGCGACACGCTAGAATTGGAGTGCTGGGGAAATCTTAT